TTAACCGACGCGTACGCTTACGTAATCGGTCACGAGGCAGGTATAGGATACAGTAGTTCGTTACGTACGATTGGACCGTTGGTCACAGCAGTATTTTGAATAAATCAAGCCAGCACATAACAGAACAGATGAGTAACAGTTTAAGCAGTTTCTAACGGCTAAAAAAACACCAATATAACGGAGTCTAACGGCTAAAAAAACACCAATATAACGGAGTCTAACGGCTAAAAAACCACCAATTTTTGCCCTAGCGCCCTTGGTTAAATTCTATTAAACTCAAATTCTTTAGGAATAAATGAATAATTCAAAATTGGATTTGCAAACTGGGGAATCCCCAACTCTAGCCGACTGGTCGTCGCTCTGATTTGACTCGGCACGAATTGCTTCCCATCAAAATTAATTTTAACCATTAAATACCTCAACCTTCTTTATTTTTGTTGTAAATTCGTGAACTAACAGATTCTATTTTATTTTGAAATAGAAAAAATCGGAAACGGATTTGTGGCTGAAGTTGCTTAATGCAAATATGCAAAAAAAAATTATTTTCAAAATTAGGAGAATTTTTTCATAGATCACAAAAATCTATTTCGTGTCTTTTATTTTTCATTACTCTCTCTCCTTCTTGCTCTTTCTTAAACTCCTCGTAGTCCTGTTTTGCTTTTCTTTTATTCATTTCTAAAAGTGACAGATTCGAGGACCTGAGAATTCAATCACAAAAACCTTTCAATTTTAAAGGATTTTAGATTTATTGTTTTTTTATTGATGTTAGAACTTTTTATTCGCATGGCCAGAAATTAACTTTTCTCTAGTTTAATGAGGTTTACGATAACAGAAAATTGTTTTAAATTTTCTTTGAAATGAATAATCAAAGAATTAGGAGTCGTAATGAAATAAATAATTTACTTCCGGTGGTATTCGAAAAGTCAACAACGTAGCGAGGTGGAGCCAAAATATTTCGGTTATTTTGATCTTTTTATCGGATATTCAATTATACCTACCCCAACATCACCTACTTTCACTTTCAAATCCATCATTCTAGATTTCGCCCACTTCCAATTGAAATCTTACCCGCAAAATACAGCAGGGATTCCTTGTGACGGGGAAATCCCGCAGATCCTTACTACTGGGAAAACCAGACTCTGACATCATTTGAAACATAACATCCGGTCGTCTTTACTCCTCTTATAAAATTCAATTAGTCTTATTTTACCATCACTTCTACGGAGCCTTTGGACACCCAAACCAACCGACAGAGAATTCAAATAGATATTTTCTCGCGATGAAGGTTTTAGAGAAAAAACTTTTGGACGAAAGGCTCATATATTTTCTAGAGAAGCTTTGCCCGGATGATGTTTTATCACACCTTCGTTGTCTCCCTGAAACAGACAAAGAACAGATTAGATGTGATGCTAAAATCACCGGAGATACACGAGCAACAGAGACGTTGTTCGATCGGTTGAAGAGAAGAGGAGACGAAGCGTTCAGCCAGTTTGTTCGTGCTCTACGAAAGACAGGAAATGACCAGTTAGCTATGATTTTGGATCCATATTTTACAGGTATATCTTAAAGAAATTGTAAACTAAGCTTCTTACTTAATAGTACTTAAGGGAATTTTCATTGCGCTTCCTAATACCATAATTGCAAAATATTTAAAGCTTAGTTTATTCTAATTTTCTTGCTTCCTAGTACCATAATTTCAAAATATTTAAATCTTAGTTGATTCTAATTTTCTTGCTTCATAGTACCATAATGGCAAAATATTTAAAGCTTAGTTGATTCTAATTTTCTTGCTTCCTAGTACCATAATTGCAAAAAATGTAAATCTTAGTTGATTCTAATTTTCTTGCTTCAGCTAGTACTATAATTGCTTAGAGTTGAATGTATTGCAGCCAACCTAGTCGTGTACTGTGTTAGCTGGTATAGTTTTAAGCCACTACCAAAAGAAAACAATTCAAAGTTGAAGTATTTTTTAAAGACAATTTAAAACAAACACCAAATCATATACATTGTATTGTACACAGCCATTAAGGGAAAAAAAAAATTTTAT